TTCTCATCTTTGTCGCCATATTTATTACAACGTGTCGGCCTTTCAGTATCTGTCTATATTTCTGAGATGAAGTATTATGTACACTATTTACATTATTCGGACTATTGTTCTCATCTTTGTCGCCATATTTATCACAACGTTTCGGCCTTTCAGTATCTGTCTATATTTCTGAGATGAAGTATTATGTACACTATTTACATTATTCGCACTATTGTTCTCATCTTTGTCGCCATATTTATCACAACGTTTCGGCCGTTGTACGCTCCGGCCGTTGTACGCTCCGGCCTTCTTCAGGTGGTTGGAATGTCGAACTGAACCCTTTATTTCGCTCGCTGGGGTAAACTGTTCTAGTTCCACATGCCATGTCTAATGGATGTCAGTTATCAGTAAGCTCTTGCTAATTCCTCTCTCCAAGTTTTCCACTGCCTTAACCAAGTATTGAACTCACACATTTTGGGTCCTGTCACTGGATCTAACTAACGCCTTTATCCACTGTGTCATGTGTCTTCACTGTGTCTTTATCCACTGTGCCATGTGTCCTCACTGTGTCTTTATCCACTGTGCCATGTGTCCTCACTGTGTCTTTATCCACTGTGCCATGTGTCCTCAAGTTAGTTAGATAGCGTTAGTTAAAAATCGACATAATGAATATAACATCAATCAGTTAAGTGACATATTTTAGGTCTGTATTAATTATAAAAACCTCATTTTTTAGTGGATACTCGTATTTTTTTTATTTATTAAACATTATGTTTAGTTACTTTTCGTCTACCGACCTGAATTTACTGTTTAATAAATAGAGCGTCTACTCAAATACGTTTATCCTCTAAAAATAACGTTTATAATGTATATATATATATATATATATATATATATATATATATATATATATATATATATATATATATATATATATATATATGAGGAGAGAGGTACGTAATTAATTTTTATTTATTAAAACAGACATTTTAAAATAAGAAAATTAACAAAAATGTTAGGAAATAAATAATGTTGCCAAAAAAAATAACATCGAAACGACTAGAAAAACAGCTGAACTGATATATATATATATATATATATATATATATATATATATATATATATATATTAACTATACTCGTTTCGAAAAACCCTCAATTTTTGATTTGCCAATAATCAAATCAATCTCGAGGGAAAAAAGGATTTTAAAAATAGAAAGAGCTAGAAACATGAACTTCTGTCGAAAAAAAATCGCACAGATAAAGGTTTGAAGCCCAAAGAAAAAAAACCCGACACGCGTAAACAACTAACAAACAAAAGAGCTCAATACTACCGTAGAGCAGACCTAGATAAACCTAGTGAGCCAGACAAACCTACCTAGGTTTCATCTAAGCGGATCGTCAGGGAAAGCTGACATAAGTTTTATAAGTATCTATATTTCTGAGATGAGGCATTATGTACACTATTTACATTATTCGGACACAACGTTTCCAGCTTTCCCTGACGATCCGCTTAGGTGAAACCTGGGTAGGTTTGTCTGGCTCACTAGGGTTTATCTGTATATATATATATATATATATATATATATATATATGTGTGTATATGTGTGTGTGTGTGTGTGTGTGTGTGTGTGTGTGTGTGTGTCTATGCATACACACAGTCGAAAATGAAAAAATGAAAGAAATATCTCCTACTTATTTCTACTGTATATTTCTTTATGACTATAGACGTTATTTGTAATAGCTACACATATTTGAGTTGCAATTCGCGTTTTTTTTAATTTTATTAAAAGTGAAATTTATACCAACCAAAACTCTTTTCAATTTCCCTGTATAAAAATTAAGAAAACGGTCATCGATAGCAACTCAAGCACTTATAACTATTAAAAAATATTGTCGAATTCTCATAAAAAATATTGTCGAATTTTTTAATGTCGAATCCTTATTACTATAAATGTTATTTGAACTTTATTATTATGTTATAGTATAAACGTTATTCATATATACATATATATATATATACACACACACATATATATATATATATGTGTGTGTGTGTGTTTGTAAGACGAGGAAACAAATACACAATGCATTCTTCGAAACTCATACATAGAAATATAAATACAAAAGAAAGTTAATAAAACTCATACAGTCTCAAAGTGAATAATTTATTCAATATGGCTTCTATTATTTTCAAATACAGTTTGAAGACGACCTTCAAAAGCTGCACAACACGTAACCACAAAGTCCTTGGACATTTTTCCCGTTTCTCTTTGATGGCAACTTGGAGATTATTCATGTTGGGGTAGGGGGTTGTCAACCTGTTCCAAAACGCCACACACGGCGTAGTTTAGTGGGTTCAGGTCCGGGCTGGGGGAGGGTCAGAAACCCGCTGGCCATAAATCAGTATATTTACAGAAGTTCTGTACCAAGACCACCGGTGGTCTTGGCTGTGTGCCTGAGAGAACCGCCTTGGGTCTAGACGTAGTTGACTTCGGGGTATTTGGCTCTGAGCCAAGAAAAAAAAACATTGTACTTCGGCTATTCGTAGTTGGCATCACCAGCAATCTTTTCTCCAAGCTTGTAGCTTTTTTTTGAGTCCATAACACCCAAGACCAATGGATGGATGCCTGGTCCTAAAAGTTCCGTCGATATCAACAATTAACTCCCCGAGGTACCGGTCATTTCAGCGATTTCCACCTGTGCTCATATTAAAAATTGTTGCATCTTTATTGGGATTTTCCCAATTATATTTGGTAACAAAAATATTGTGACGCCAGCAAGAAGAAAGGCACACAAACACAGATGAAAATGTTTGAAAAAATTTGTATTGTAGGAAAAGAGAGAAAAGTTTCTTGCAAACAGTCGGGTTTGCGGAACTTATCTGAAAGATGCGTCCTTTTAACAGTTTTATATTTCCTGTGTCGTTTTGGCTGGGTTGAAGAAAATAGAGTCTTGACTTCTGTGCTTCAGTTTCTGTCTAAATCCACACACGTGTCCTGGTGTTTAGATGACGGAGAGTTCAGACGGGGAATGTGTTGTCACTGAGGGTCCCAACACGCAAAAGAGGAAGAGAGCTTGTAAAAACCGCTCCGTGGGGGTTTGGTGAAAATCTAAAAACGTAGCCTGTGATTGATTGTTTTTCATCCAATCACAGGGCACCCAGTTAGCGACTCCGTAATAATTTCAATATCTTTTCTGCTAATGCGCCTCAAATATTGTAAAGTTACTTATCGCAAATATTAATTCACCCGAAGAAATTATATATTTTAAATAAAATTTTAATTGTTTTTTTTTTTCATTACTAAATTTTGGGCACGCTTTTGAAATTATAAATTTTATTTTTAAATAAAAAATTGTTTAGCTTGCCTCGCAACAACTCCAAATTTCAGAATGAAAAATTACCGAAAATCAGGAAGTTATTGACATTTCGTGAATGCGGGTGTTATCCGAGGTACATACAAGGAATATTTTACAATTTAAAAAAAAATGTTTTTGGCGTGTTTATCATAGTGAGCGCGAATGCAGACCCCATGCTGAGATATAGCGTATCCGAATCGATCACATTTGGGACGATCGCATAGTTCAATCCAATTAGGGTGCAATTGAATGCTTCGGTCTTGGAAAATTTGGTGTGAATTTTAGTAAATATAATTTTGTTTTTATTTTGGAGTGAATTAATATTTTGGGGTGAATTAACAGAAAATCCGACATAATCAACTTAGAAAGCTTGGCGTCCTTTTAGAAGGTTCAAAGCCCAGGTTGTCGTCCACAGTTGTTTTAAAGGTTTGGAGATTTTCTATTAGCTCAGCAGCTTCCTTATGATTATTATTGTTGGGTCATTTGCATTTAATGAATCCTTAATCTGTTTCTCTTGCTGTCTGGCTTCGTTTAGATGCAGTTACCCACTTGTGCTTTCCTTCTTGACATTGTAGGTCAGTGATTCTCCGCTTTGGTAATAACGATCTCTTATTGCCGCTATTTATTCTCAAGGAGATATTAAGTGTTCAGGGACATTGTTGAAGACGATATAATTCAATATTTTAAACTGGGATTAGACTTGTTAGATATACTTATCTTTTTGTATCCATATTTACATTCTAAGACATATTTCAATTAGAATGCGATCGCTCTCTGTCTATAGAGCAAGAACCTGCACATCAAAGGCAGGTAGCTTCTAGGGTTGAACTCTGTGACCATCCTTTGACTGTTCTCGCCACTTTTAGCATGGGGAGTGTTCGGGATAATTCCTGAAAGGAATGGAAGGGTGGAAATGCTCCTAAAATAGTCCCTGTAAAAACAAAAATGAATGATTGAACTTACGTTATTGTTGCTGGGTGAGAGATTGACGGAGTTAGCGAGGGAAGCGTCTATGTTTCTGGAAGCTTGGAGATTGGTGCCCAGCCTCATCTGCTGTATCGCTCGAAAAGGACTACTTTAAAAATTAATACTGCACATGCTCCCGTTATTTTCTTTCTTTTTCTTTCTTTCTTTCTTTCTTTTTTTCTTTTTTTCTTTCTTTCTTTCTTTCTTTTTTTCTTTCTTTCTTTTTCTTTCTTTCTTTTTTCTTTCTTTCTTTCTTTCTTTCTTTCTTTTTTCTTTCATTCTTTCTTTCTTTCTTTTTCTTTCATTCTTTCTTTCTTTCATTCTTTCATTCTTTCTTTCTTTCTTTTTTCTTTCTTTCTTTCTTTTCTTTCTTTCTTTCTTTTTTCTTTTTCTTTCTTTCTTTTTTCTTTCTTTCTTTCTTTCTTTCTTTTTTCTTTCATTCTTTCATTTCTTTCATTCTTTCATTCTTTCTTTCTTTTTTCTTTCATTCTTTCATTCTTTCATTCTTTTTTTTTTTTTTCTTTCTTTTCTTTCTTTCTTTCTTTTTTTTCATTCTTTCTTTCTTTATTTCTTTCTTTCTTTCTTTTCTTTCTTTCTTTCTTTGGTGTACAGCCATGGCCAGTGCGTACTACGCCATGTGTGGTTTGTGACCCTCGCCATCTCATCAATATTTGCTTTTTTTCTTACCTACATTAATATACGTTTCAAAGTAAACCAAGTACAAATGAATATTAAACAATGAAAATTTTTGCAGATTTTGGCGCCATCCTGGGTTCTTTCTTTTCGTCCAAATTCGTGAATTTGTTTTGCTCCTGCTAAGTCTCGAAAAAAACACTATATAAAATTCACTATTTTTTTTATCTCTAATGTTGTTAAAATTATTCAACATTCTAAAAAAATCTCAAGTTGAGTTAAAAGTTTAATTTAGTTTGTTTAGTTAGTTTTTCCTTCCGCTTATGCAGTTAGGCATCGCGGGGAGACACAGTTGTCTGTCAGCGGCAAGGCGAGTGGTCCGGAGGAGAGATACTTCGTGGGCTCTGAGATTGTCTGCCACTGAGTCGCTCCAGGATCTTCTTGGTCTGCCTCTCTCTCCCCAGCCAGAGTACCTGTGTATGCACGTACGACTGATTGGTTGATAGACATACGAGTAAGGTGTCCGAACCACTTGATCGTTCGATGTATTATATGTTTGGTATTGCTCCTACCATATCTCTTATTGCCTCATTCTTGTTGATGTTAAAAACTGCCGAAAAACATTGTTGATTTATTTAAGACGGAACGATCTATTTTAACATGTCTCTAATTTTTATTTAGATAAATTGCATTTATTTCCAACATTTCTAGTTGAATTGATCACCTATATTACATATGATCCATTATTGTACATAATTAGGTTGCAATAAAAGGTAAATTTTCATTTTAACACCCGAGCGCTATTATCCCTTCAAATTTTTCCAAAATAGTCTCATTTCCGTGCAAATGTATATGCTGAACTCAAATCAACAATTAGATATTAAAGAAACCTACGTTTTTGGATGTTAACGACCAGAAAAACATCGAACTTCTTCTCGCTCTTTTTGTCATCCCTTACCGGCTTATTGATAAGTAATTAAGTTCTGAATTCTGTCGGCGGACGTATACAATTTGGGCCTATTTACTCCCTTCACAGTAATTCCTTGTAGTTAACTTTCAAATTAGGGTTAGGTGTTTTTTTTTTTTTTTTTTTTTGGTTATTCTTTTTTTTTTTTAAAGAAGAAAGTTAACTTTCAAATTAGAGTTAGGTGTTTGTTTGTTTTTTTGGTTATATTTTTTTTTTAAAGAATAAAGTTAACTTTCAAATTAGGGTTAGGTGTTTTTTTTTTCTTTTGTTATTCTTTTATTTGTCTATGTTTACATATATTTGAAAGTTAACTTTCTTAAATTAATTACAAAAAAAAAAAAAATTGCTTTACAGAAACGCGTACTAATTTCTGAAAAAATTAGTTCAGCAGTAAATGACGCCCGGATGTTAAAATGAAAATTTACCCAATAAAATTTGTATTTAATATGAATACTACGTTATGAAAATTGAAGTGTAGTAGAGTGGAGTGGAGTGGAGATTCAGAGAGAGGCTAGTATCATAGATTCGGTGGGGGCTCACGGGACCCTTGCACCAGCCCTGGGTGGAGCGGCGGTTACAACTATATAGTGAACATTTCAAATCAAAATTCAACCTCATAACTGTCAGGCTGCGAACTTATTGATCCGCCCTCGTCTTGCGTAAAAATAACCAACATTTCCTTTGTATAGCTAAATACGTCATAGCTTCTAATGTGCACAAACAGCTGCATGCATATGCACCCTTTCATGCATAGCAGAAGTACATATGACGAAAATGTGTCATGTATAATATCATATATTTACAAAACTTTCATGTGTTCTTAAACTATAAGCAAAAATGTGCATATAAATTTCCATTTGTAAATATTATGTGCGGCCATGCAAGAAACCACAAATAAATTTGAACTGAAGTGCATACAAGGAGATGCAGAAATGTTAGCTGCACCTCGAAAAGAGTTTACAAAATCTGATGATTTTTTTTTTTTTCTTTTATTTTCTGAATCACGTTTTGGTCGGGCTGACAAATTTTCGGCACATCATCTTACATTCAGAATGTCTTGACAAAAGCAAACTTAGCACACCTCAAAATTAAATCAAATCTATATATATATATATATATATATATATATATATATATATATATATATATATATATATATATAATGTTAGGAGGATGTGAAATAATCATAATTAAGTAATTCATCAGGTCTAATAATAATAATAAATATATATATATAGAATAATAATTATAATATATAATTAGATATATAATTAGATATATAATTAGATATATATAATATATATATATATATAGTGAATATATATATGTGTCTCTGTGTGTGTTTGTGTGTGTATAAAAGAAAATGGTTTAAAAATTTAAAAATATTAATATGTAAATTTTTAAACCCTTTTTCTTTTATGCTTGGAAATGTGATCTGAGGAACCAGGAAAAATCCCTTTCCTAGGGAAATAAAATATAATCTTCGGACCCTTAGGGTTGTTTGTTTTTTTTTAATTTAACTAATATTCGCTCTGTTTTTACATTGAGCTTTTTGGATTATATCCTTATTGGGATTATCCATACGGATTACCAAACATTTCATTAACTAACTACACACACACACACACACACACACACACACACACACACACACACACACACACACACAGATAGATAGATATATAATATTAGTGGTCAAGATATATATATATATATATATATATAAATTCCCAAGAGGATAGAATAAAGGCAGAACTCAATGTCCAGGACAGGGTAAGAATAAAATAAAAAATGCTCGAACACTAATATTCCATGGTTATAATTTATTACAGTGCAATCGTAATCAAACCTACAAATTCAAAAAAGCTACTTTTTTAAAAATTTATATATATATATATATATATATATATTATTGTTACTTCTAATATTATTTTTAGTGGATACTCGTATTTGAGTAGACGTTCCGTTTATTTTAAACAGTTTTTTTTTTATTTCTACTGGCCTGTGCACTCGAGAAAACTTTATAAAAAAATGTCTCCTCCGGTGGGATTCGAACCTGTATCCACATTATAGTGTTGAAGGCTTGTGCAGAAGCAACCACACTTTTTGGAAAGTCCAAATACAGTGAACTGACGCACAGTGTGCCACAAGGCCTAGATGATCATCCTTAGGTTTTGAAGTCAGAGTAGTCCTTCTCCTAGATCGGTTGCCATCCAAGTGTATTTACACGTCAGTGAATGTCACAAAATTTATTTAAAGCCAGAAAATATTTTTAGATTGTAAAATGAATTTTGTGGGTGGAAAAATAATAACGATTTAGTGATGCAAGTCTTACTAATTAACCCATAGCTGTGGGGAGAAGAGGTGGATTCAGACCTTTGCTCTCCGATTAGCAATTCCGAGCCATTATGCATGACAACATCCGAACATCCAAGCTTACAACAAATGGTATTCCCAAGTTGTCAGTCATCTAGATACTGACCAAGCTCAACGTTGCTTAACTTTGGTGATTGTACGGGAAACTGGCGTTTGAAATCTTACTACGGAGCCAAATAAATGGCACAGAAACATTTCTTGGGTGATACAGATTCACAATATGCTGCATGAATCTATCATATTTTGGCGGGAAATACACACACACCGAACTCGTCATTATATCATAGACAAGCAGGGCTACCCAGCGTTGGCTGGGCATTATATCAAAATAACTCTAAATAACAATATCTATATTTAAACTTGACGTAAATTAATTTATTATAACATTATATATTACAATTTAATTAAAACTTGTGTGACTATATATATATATATATATATATATATATAAACGTTCACGCCGTTCTGAAAATTTTGTATTTATGTGTGTATTTGTGCTCGTCTTAAACTGAAATATTTAAACCCTTAAAACCATATAAAGTCGGATTCAAACGTAATTTATTTGTGTATATATATATATTCGGCTCTCCCGTCGTATTCGACGTATGAGGGTCAAGCAGCCCAGTTCCTAGGAACCAACAGCCAGACTTGATTTGCTTATTGTGGTGAATGTTTTGTGTAGAACTATCTACAGTTATTAAAGACTCGGATACAGAGAATACTAATGGCCACAAGGTCTCCAAACGAAGAAAAGAAAAGATTTTTTTGAAAAAACATTTCTTTCATTTTGAATCAATAATTTTTTCATTTTTTTTCAGATATTTTTCTAGTGGATAAAGAAATTGAGTTTGTTTTCGTAAGGAAAACAAGTCTTACATGGAAAAATGTTCATTTATAAACAAATAAGCCCTTTATTAAATAAAATGATGAAATGTAAATTCTTTTAAAATTTTACATTATTGAATTAAATGTAATTTTTTGCCACCGTTTTTTACTTCCCAAAAATTATGTTATTTAATATATATATATATATATATATATATATATATATATATATATATATATATATATATATTAAAAGTTTACCTTGTCTGGAATATGAAATTATGGTAGTGAATATTCATATTTGAAACAGACGCCACAATTTTATTTCAAAGTGTGTGTATTACGTCTACCAAACTTAGAATTCTACGGTGGCAAAAAATGAAAAAAAAAAAATTTAAATAACATTTTTAAAATTATTTTTTTTAAGTACAAATGGTGGCAAAAATTACAATTAATTGAAAAATGTAAAATTTTAAAGAATTTTAAAACATTACTCCGTTGTGTTCCTCTCTCTCTCTCTCTCTCTCTCTATATATATATATATATTATATATATATATATATATATATATATATATATATATATATATATATATATAGAGAGAGAGAGAGAGAGAGAGAGAGAGAGAGAGAGAGAGAAGGCACGGTGGAGTAATGGATAACGGCTTGATTGAGGAATCGCAGAGCCAAGTTCAAATTACAGTCGAATCCATTACATTCATTTACGTGCTAATAACCTTGGGAAAAGGTATGAATCCTCTTCCTCTCCCTCCAATTATGGGTAAAATAGCAGGACAGCAGGACAGACTGGGATCTATAGCCTTGGATGGCAACTGGTCTAGGAGAAGGACATCTCTGAATTATATATATATATATATATATATATATATATATAT